AGCATTTCTCGAGCATGAGTGAGCCTTGCATTCAGTCCCCATGACCAAAAAAAAAAAAAGCCTCAATTAAATATAACGTTTCGTTTTGTAGTTCTCATATCTACAGATTAATTAAAACAGTTCGGGGCTGGGGATTTAGCTCAGCGGCATAAGTGCTGGCCGTGCAAGCAGGCGGTCGTGAGTTCGATCCCTGGTACCGATAAAAAGGAAAAAGACAAAAAAAAAAAAAAATTTAAAACAGTTCATATTGCTTTTTTTAAAAAAAGATGTAAGTACTGAGAAATGTTGCTTGCTTACATAAACGTGCAAATGAAGAGGGAGTGCGGGAATGCATTTTATTGTAGTAGTAACACTCAGTTATTTGAGTTCTTTCTGAAGTATATGCCAAAACTACATTGTAATGTCATCAAAAATCATTAATGATCTGTCAGCTGACATCTCAGTTAGGTCCTCCAAACTTTATGGAAGGCAAAGAATTAGAAACTATTTAACTGGAAAAGTAAACAAGATCATTAGTTACTTACTTTACTTTTTCTAGAAAATACATTCTTAAAAAACAGCATTATAAGGACTGGGGATATAACCCATGGCATAAGCACCTGCCTGATAAATGCAAGGTTCTGAGGTTGATTCCCCCCTGCAAAAAAAAAAAGCGTTATTAGGACTTATTCTCCCCCCCCACCACCACCTTTTTCTTAAATCGGTACCGGAGATTGAACTCACGACCACGTGCTTGCAAGGCAGGCGCTTATGCCACCAAGCTAAATTCCCTGTCATAGGACTTACCTAACAGGGAATTATTTTGCTACTCTTTCAATATAAGTTTGTACAACAGTGTATTTGAAAGAATTGAGGAAATCAAAATCCTATTAGTGCCAATGTACTTTCCCGAATGATTGCGTTGGATAAATGCTTTTATTGTGTGATATGCCTTTCTTTCTTTTTTTTTTTTTTTTTTTGTCTTTTTCCTTTTTATCGGTACCAGGGATCGAACTCATGACCTTGTGCTTGGCAGGCAAGCACTTGTGCTGCTGAGCTAAATCCATGGGCCTTTTTTTTTTCTTTTTATAAGCTTTTAAATACAGTTTTGTCAAAACTTTGTGCCTGTAGATTTGCTCTTTCAAATAATGGAAGCTGACTGTAGTGGTGCACACCTATAATCCCAGCACTCGGGAGGCTGAGGCAGGAGGCTAGCCATCAGTTTGAGGCCAGTTTGGGTTACATAGCAAGACCCTGTCTCAAAGAAAAGAGCGGGGGAATGGCTGATAGAATTAACAAAGCCAGTTTTTATTGCCAAACCAATCAGCCAGTTAGATTTACTTCCCTACATAAAATATTCTGCCTTCATTTTTCAGTTCACATAAATTATATAGCAAAACATGCCTATGACAACTTTCTCAGTTCTCAAAGCACAAGTTGACTCCATTTTCTGTTTCTAAAACTGAGCACAAGTTGACTCCATTTTTCTGTTTTTGTTTTGGTTGGTTGGTTTTTTTCTTTTTGTTTTGTTTTGGAGTTTGTTTGTTTGTTTGTTTGTTTGTTTGTTTGAGACAGGCTCTCACTATGTAGTCCAGACTGACCTTGAGCTCACAGTGTACCCGAGGCTGACCTTGAACTTGTGACTTTTGCCTCAGCCTCATGACTGCTAGGATTACAGGTGTGCACCACCACACCTAGCTGTTGACCCCAATTTTCTTGCTTCATTTTCACATGGCCCAAATGTGACACCCTAGACCTGTGACACATCTACGTAGTACAACCTTAGTCAAGGGAGTGTAGAATTGAGTTGGTTTTTTAAAAATCTTTATCCATATACAGTTCACCCATTTATAGGGTACAGTTTAGCAAAACTTTTAAAAATACTTTTATAGAGCTGTGCCCCTACTACCACTAAGTTCAGACCACTTTTCTCACCCCAGGAGGAGATCTCATTCTCATTAGTAGCAGCTGCTCTCCAGGCCCTCACCTACACCTGACTCCTCCAACCAAGGACATCTGCAAGCATCGCCTGTGCTGTGCACCTGTCTGGCTGTGGCTCTGGAGTGCTGGGCCTGTGCTCTGCTTATTTTTATGATTCAACAATATTTCTTTGTATAGATGCTCCACATTTTATTTACCCAGTCACCACTGGTAGCAACTGTATAATTTGATATTTGATAATTCCCAACACCTTATTTTCCAACAAGTAAAGATTTGTTTTGTATAATAAACTCTTAAGGGTCTATTTATTTTTCCATTATAGCAAAGCATGTGAATATTGCTCTTAATTAGTGACCCACATTCTTTTGTGGTAGAGATATTTGTTGTCTTTGATTGCATTTGTAACCTATGACTTTTTGTTCTAATCTATCATTATTTTTAGTAAAAGTAATTTGATTAATTAGTAAGCAGTTGTAAATTTTTTCAATTGTCACAAATCAGAAATCTAATTACAGCTTTATTTTGATATAATGCACATACCATACAATTCACATACTTAGAAGTATGCAGTCCAGTGGCTTGGTATAGTTAGAGTTGTGTACCATCACCACAGTGTTAGCATATTTTATCATCTCCAAAACACCCTGACACTTTAGCGGGCCAACCTCCTTTGCCTTATGTCCTGCTACCAGCCCTAGGCAAACATGAATCTGCTTTCTGTGTATAGACTCACCTGTTCTTGTTATCTTATGTAAATAGAATCAGAGGATGTGTTTTGCAACTATACTTAGTATAATGTCTTGAATGTTTGTTGCTGAATAATACTCCATTGTATAGGCATGCCACCTTCTCTAGTTTTCTTTTCTTTTTTGCTGGAAGCTGAATCCAGGGCCTCCTGCTAGCGAGGCAGGTAGTCTACTGCTGAACTCCATCCTCAGCCCATTTTTCCTTTAAAAAATTGCTGTACCATGCAGCTGTATCACTTACATTATTCCCACAGCAGTGTGTGAGGTTCTGAGTCCTCTGTGGCCTTCTCAATACTTGTTTTGGTCTTTCCTTCCAACCCAAAGCTTTTAAAAATACATATACAAAAAAAAAAAAAAAAAAAAAAAAGTAGATCATCTTTCTGGTTTGTTTGGGGTTTTTTTGGTTTTTTTTCACACTGGGGAGCAAACTTATGACCTCGTGTTTGCCAGGCAGGCCCTTGTGCTGCTGAGCTAAATCCCCAGCCCCCATTTTTATGAAATTAAAAGTGGCTTAAAGTAGAAGGAGGGCAAGACTATTCTGGTGCATAGCCATTGTAGCATTCCCACATTCAGCATTGCCAAGCTGCTCAAATAAATGCCAAGGTTTTCTCCATCATTTCTATCCTGTGCAGTTGTTTTTATCAGGTTGCAGTTCCCTTTGCCGTAGCAGTGGTTGTAATTAATTCCTTAACTTAGCAGAGTCATCCTTGGAGGGACTTGGGCAGGGTTAGAGCATGTGCTTAGCATGGTGAGGTACCAGGCCTGGTGCCATCCCCAGCACCAGAAGAAAAGGCCATGCCTGTATCAGGCTTTTGTCTACCACCTTTTGTAAAAATCTTTATCCAGATAAAATCCATCCATTTATAGGGTGGTGGACAAACTGCTACACATTCCTCTACCATCTGAAACTGTGTGGTGTAGTCCCACAAGTCTCAGCGTAAAGCATTCTGTGATCATAGTCAAGGGTGAAACAGCATTCTAAGTGGGAAATCATCTTAATTTCCTTTGTGTTAGTTTCAATATATCTGGAATCAGAATTCCCAGTAAAGGCCCGCGTACCTCCTTCCCAGTGTTACTCTTCAGCCTTGACCAAAATAGGTAAAACTTACATGAAACCCTACGTGGGCTTTCTGGTGCTTTGAATAAAGAAAGTTTTACCTCTCCTATTCAAACCATAGTGCAGTTTGTTTTGTTAGATGTTCTGGAGGTTTTTATATTTAGAACAAGGCATAATGGTGAGATTTAGAATGAATGAAAACGGGTTTATTTGACTGCATTTTGAACACGGGAAGACAATTGTAAAAGGGGAAGATGGGAAAAGAGCAACCAGCAGGGAGTCTAAGTTGTAAAAGCATCTTTGCATCAGCTCTTGGGAAAAGTACATGAGAAAACTGAGACTGGATTCATGAAAATCACCTGTACACATACCTTGAGAAAGTCTTTGTGAACTCCTTGAGCAGTGGTGGCAAACGTATGGTATGCATGCCACAGGTTGTTTGTGTCGCTGAAAGGTCTAACAGGTTTGCCATCACTGCCTTAGAGGAATGCAGACCCCAGTTTTAGAACACTGGCCTACATAGATGTTGGAATGTGGTCCAGAGCCCTGAGAAGATGTCTAAGCTGAGGATTACAACTGGGTTCATGGCCATGTTATGTGGGTACAGTTTAAATGAGTGAGTGTGCTGTCAAGCAGTCAGTGGAGGAGAAGAGGGAAAAGCCAGGCATTTGGGTGTGATTCACACTTTTTTTTTTTTTTTTTTGTACTGGGAATTAAACTCAGGACCTCACACTTGCCAGACAGGTGCTTATGCCACTAAGCTAAATCCCCAGCCCGTGTGATTCACACTTAAGGAGTAAATTCTGGAACAGGAGCTGGAGAGAGGTGAAGGAAAACCCCACGACAGTGTCAAGAATGAGAGCCAATAGATCTTCAGTCAGGCTGGCCAGCAGTGAGCTGGGACAGAAAGACCTGAAAGACAACCGCTGCCCCACGGTGGGGAGATTCCTCCTGCCAGTTGCACAGCCCACCCTAGCCTGAGATGAGATAACAGGTCCCCACTCTGTTTAGCTCCCTCTTGCTGGTTTTTAGGTGTAGTCTTCCTCTGTAGCCACATACGTGGGTGGGGGAAGGCTTGCCAGCAAGATCCCTGCCTTTATGAAGACACTAGTCTCACAACTCCAAGAGCTTCAGGACCCGATCACCTCCCAGCGTCCCCCACCTCCTAGTGCCAAAGCCCTGACGGTTAGGACATAGAAGACACATTTGGTCTGTGACAGCGGCTACAGCTGTACATTCTCATAATAATTGCATCTTATGTTTGGGACTTCTTCTAGGTTTAGCATGAGCTTTAACAGACATAATCTGAAATACTATGTATTACCAAAAAAGCCTAAAAAGGTGGCATTTGATTGCTTAGAATGGATCAGAAAGCATCACCCATGTGAGTATAACCATGTGATGAATTATGTCTAAAAGTAATGGATAAAATGTCTTTTTTGCACCACAATAGAATTTATACAATTGCATATTAACAATTCCTTTTTGTATTATGATTGTACCAAACTGCTATTTATAGAGTAGAATATTGTAACTCAACTCTAGAAATTATAAAACCTCATTTGGTTAGATAACAATAAGCTCTAACAAAAATATATTAAATACGCCCTCCTACACATCCAACTTATAATTCCTGGTTTCAGTGTCTTTCCTCTGGTTTTTATCAGTGCATGAATAAGTCAGCCCTTTGTTTTAGTAGCTTCTCCCAAGTGTGTTTGCCTTTGAGTTATATTAACTAAAGTGAGATTTGAAGTCATAGCAGTTTTCCATTTAACTTCTTTTCCACATCTTGAGCATTTCCCCATGTCTTTTGTAAACTTAGAAAGCACTTTCAACAGTTATAGTATATTTTATTCCATAATTTTCTATCTTGACTGTTCCCATAAAATCTTCACTATTGCCCATTAAAATCTTTCTAATTTTTAAAATTAAAAGAAAACTTTGAGCAAAAGTCGTTATATCACTTTATTTCCTGTTAGTTTCCTAGGAGGAAGCTTAGAAATATCTATGTGGCAATACTTACCAAGAAGCTTAGAAATATCAAAAGATATTTCTAAGCTTCTTGGTAAGTATTGCCACATGATCTCTACAGAGTTTAAATAAGAATGACTTCCCATTTTGGAGCTGATGTGGAATAGGCCTAGGATCTAATATATTAAATAATATATCTAATATATCCAGGTTTATGTCACAAATCATTCACAGAGACATGATTAAAAGTCAGATCTCATTTCCAGTGCATGAATGGCTTGCTAGAATTATTCTTTGTGATCATCTTGTTAAAAGTAGTATAGGTATCTATTTATGGTTCAAGTATTTTTAAGAGTGTTACATATTCCTGGGCATTGTGGATTACACCTGTAATCCCAGCACACTGGAGGCTGAGGCGGGAGGATGGCCATGAGTTCCACCCCAGCCTGAACTACTTAATGAGATCCCGTGCTCAAATCCCTCAACCCAAAAAAACGCAATATAAACCGTATTGTTTTTGTGGAAAGTCCTTGTTTCTTGGCAGTTTGGTCAGTTTTGGTCTCTTGGCAGATGACTCCGGAATCATTTACTGCCTCTCCAGGTGGGAGTGTGACACGATGGCAGATACACTGCAGAAGGATGGGCTTGCTGCTCTGGCTTATCATGCTGGCCTCAGTGATGCTGCCAGAGATGAAGTACAGCACAAGTGGATCAACCAGGATGGCTGCCAGGTACCACATTTTACCTTAAATGCAGCAGACATCAAAATAAGTCTGAAATTGTTTCCATGGCATAGTAAATAACCTGGAAATGTTATGAGAGGCCATGGAAGGGGGTTGAAATGTTGCTTACTGGTAACAGGAAGCTGGGGTTAAGACTAAGAGTTGTAGGTATTGGGGCTGGGGATTTAGCTCAGCGGCATAAGAACCTGCCTTGCAAGTAGGTGGTTGTGAGTTCGATCCCCGGTACCGATTTAAAAAAAGAAAAAGAGTTGTAGATGTCCCCAAGGCAGACAGCAGGATAGTGAAAATCATCGGGGTAGTCACATAGTGCTCTGGAGAGATCCATGCATGCATTGGGTGGGCATGGGAGGCCGTGCGCAGAGGCCGGGGCAGACCAACAGGGCTGGAGAGCCTCACGCTCGCTCACTGCTGCTTGCAGTGAAGTCAACAACAGCCTTTTCAGACACGATCTGTATGCACTGAAGTAACAGGCTCCCATCTTCCTGAACAAGTTAATATATTTAATAATATATTTAGTCAAAATGACAGTGGGCTTTCCTTTGATGAAATTTTTCAAAAGTTTGCCTGGAAGAATGTCCGAGTGAAAAATCACCAAGAATCTGGCAAAAATAATCATGTAATTAAGGATAACATTTTTCAAGTTCTTTAAATCTTTATGTTAGTATAAGTATTCTATAATTAAGATACATATTATTTAAGAAAAACATATTTTTATAATGAAAATATATATCTGGCCAGGTCCAATGGTGCATACCTGTAACCATAGCACTCTGGGAGGCTGAGGCAGAAAGATCACAAGTTCAGGTCCAGCCTGGGCAATTTAATGACCTGTCAGTACTGTCTCAGAATCTTAAAAAGGTCTGGAGATGTAGCTCAGTGCAAAGGTCCTGGGTATAAGTGTCAGTACTGGGATGAGAGTGGGGTTTAAAACATTAGTAAAGGGATGGGGATTTAGCTCAGTGCCATAAGCCCGTGCCTGGCAAGCATAAGGTGTGAGTTTGATGCCCAGTACCAAAAAAAAAAAAGCATTAGTAAGGTCCAAATTTGTTTGCCATCAGACTAGCTAATTCTTATATCACAGTGTAATGTAAGCTTATACTACCTGGACGGCTTTGATCTTGTTAGATTCACAAAATAGATTAAAACTTCATTGTCTTTCTTCATAAAAAAATGATGCCACCCTAAAGTTTTCTTAAAAAGCACAGAAATAAGGGAACTTACAGTTCACCAAAGCCAATTTTCCCAATTAAAGAAGTCAGAGCTTTTAGAAAGGGCTGGCATCAGGGCTGGGAATTTAGCTCAGCGGCATAAGCGCCTCCCTTGCAGGCAGGCAGTTGTGAGTTCGATCCCCGTCACCGATAAAAAGAAAAAAGACAAAAAAAAAAGAAAGGGCTGGCATCATCGTGTCCTTGTGCCACCCGCAGACTCTGCCCTGCCGCACGGCTGCGGGCCACACATGCCGTGCAGCCTCCCACTGCCGGAAGCGGTAGTAGGCTCCTTCCTAGGAGCTATGCTTTGATCACAGTGCCATCAGCCTCCGTGGATGACTCATCAAGAGCACAGGCCGACGCCTTCCCGGTGTTGCTATCCCGGGCCCTGTGCTTGCAGATCCTCTACTGAACTCATGAACACTGCTGAAATCATGTCCTTTAGCTTCAGTCTGGCTGAACAATGTTCCTGTTGTTTTTGAAATACTTTTCTTGCAGCAACAATTCATTTTTTTAAACCGTAATGAAGGACTTGCAGCTTTATTTGTATAATGTAATTTTGCCTGTAGATAACAGCATTTTGGTTTTTTTTGTTTTTGTTTTTGTTTTTTTTTTTTTGCCAAGACCTTTAGATCCAAGATAACAGCATTTTGTTCTGGGTTAAGTAGGTCCTCAACTGGCAACCCAAATGGATATTCTTTTTTTTCTTTTCCCAAAGCCATTTTATTTCAAGGATTAAAAAGAAGAAAAGAAAAAAACTACAACAAAATTTCAAAACACGTCAGTCAGGGGGCAATAGTACATTGCTCATTGTCATCCCCAGTCATTCACCCAGAGACATCTCATTCAATTGTTGCAATGGGTATTTTAATTTTTGGAGCCCCTGAAATGTGACTGTCACCTTGCTTCACTAACTAACTTGCTTAGGCCAAGATCCACAGTCCCTGGCCTTGTTTTTGTTGTTCTTTTTTAGTATAAGCTGCTCTCAGACTTTCACCCATATGTGTTTCAAATGAAATTTCTCAAGCTTGACTTGGAAATCAGCTACCAGATAAAGGAGGTGGGGGATGATGAGGTGGTGGTCAGCGCTGGAGCAGGGAGGACGCTGCTGTTGCCTTCTGCTGTCCTGAGCCCTCAGAGGAGTGAGCAGCAGTAGACTCCCCACAGCTCCTGAGCAGTACATTGCTTATGGACAGCCACTGGGATGGTATCAGGGCCACATGAGCAGCCCCATAACACCCCAGTATCAGATGCAGAGGACAGACACCGGTGGCACATAACGGGCCAGCTGCAGTGGCTTCCCATTCCTGCCCTCATGAGCACTGAGCCTGCCACACTGGGCTGCTCTCTACCTTCTGGGGCACGTTAGAGTTTTGAGGCATCAATATGAAAATCTCATCTGAGGGCCAGAGATACAGCTCAGTGGCATGACGCCTACGTGGCAAAGCGTGAGGTCCTGACTTCGATTTCCAGTTCCCAAAAAGAAAAATTCATCTTAGTTGTGCTAAATAGTGGGAACAAGTCTAACTAGATGTTCAAGTACATTTTAAAAAGCAATAAAGGACACGGTTGCTAGAAACATCAGTTATTAAAATGTTCCTTTAAATGCAATGAGTCTAATAAGCTTTTGCTTTTATATCAGGTTATCTGTGCGACAATTGCATTTGGAATGGGGATTGACAAACCTGATGTGCGATTTGTGATTCACGCCTCTCTCCCTAAGTCCGTGGAGGGTTACTACCAAGAGTCCGGCAGAGCTGGGAGAGATGGGGAAATCTCTCACTGTCTGCTTTTCTACACTTACCATGATGTGACCAGACTGAAGAGACTGATAATGAGTAAGCTGAGCTCTCAGGGATGTGCTGTCATGTTTAGTCCCAAGAGATTAATGTACTCTTGCTGTTGTGGTTCTTGAGTCCAGTTTTCCTTAAATAGCAATACAAAGTAAATGTTTAAACTGGTCGTGGTGCACACTGTAGTCCCAACTACCCAGTGTCACAAGTTCAGGGCCAACCTGAGCAATTTAGCAAAAACTCTATCTCAAAAATTTTAAAGGGCTAGGGATGTAGCCCAGTGCTAAACCACTTGCCTCAATGGGGGAGGGGGAATATAAATTGGAATTCTATTTTAGTTCATTTTTATTATAAAAGCAAGTACATGCATATATATAAACTCAAATGATGCAGATATATACAAGGCAAAAAATTTCCAAATAATGCCATAGAGTTTTGCCCCAAGAAATAACTTCAATAATTGGATTCCTTTGTATCTTTCAGACTCAATTTTCTCAAGCATCCTTGCATGCAACACATATTCCAAAGAAAGATTAAAAGGGAGAAAAATAATGAACTCTTATGTACCACCATGAAGAAATAAAGCCGAATTGGGTGCAGTGGTGTATGCTTGCAGTCATCACTGCCAACAAGGCTGAATTAGGAAGAATGAGGCCAAGAGTTGACGAGTGAAGTCTGTGGCACCCCGGGCAGCATAGTGAGACTCTTTCTTGAGGAAAGAAAAGACACAGCAATAGAGCTGGAGCCCCTGTACACCCCAGTTCTGTCTCATCCCTCTTCTCCCTCATTAGAGGCAGACAACATCTTGTATTTGGGGTTTACCTTTCCCAGATACACGTATTTTAAAACGTAAATGGAGGGCAGGGACATAGCTCAGCAGCACACCTGCCTGGAAAGTGCAGGTCCTGAGTCCAGTTCCCCATACCAAAAAAAAAGTAAATGAGAAAACAGGACTATGTTTTTGGAATTGGAATTACTGTTTACTAGCCCATTTATGTCAAAAGTTGTAAAAATTTTTGAATTTTTACATGCAGTTCATATGTTTTACCTAGAAAAATTCAAGGAGCAAGAATTTGAAGAGAAAAAAAATTACGTGCCATTCCAAAGGCACATTAAATTAGTCCAAATTCCAAAGGATTAAATCCCTTCTTGGTAGATATTTAGATTATTTATTATTTTTCATTTGTCAGAAATATCGTAGTAAACATCCTTGTTCAATGGTTTTTGAATATTTGTGCAATTTTGTTGTTGTTACTGTCAGCAGAACTGAGGATTAAACCCCAGGGGCTTTGCTCTGGACTACATTTCCAGCTCTTTATCTTTTATTTTGAGACAGGGTTTTGCAAAGTCACTGTTGGCCATGCTGAGGGCTTCAATTGCAGCCCTCTTGCCTTAGACATTTAGAGAGCTGGAATTACAGGCGTGTGCCACCATGCCCAGCTAGTGCTTATTATGTATATAGGATAAGTTTCTAGACTTAGATTTACTGGGTCAGAGTGAATCACATTTTAGGATTTCCTGTGCCCATTTTCCTACTCTGTGGTGATAGTTAAATATATTTCCTAAACACATTTCTCTATATGGAAGACCACTTTCTCGTTAACTCTGGCAGAGATGTTGAGCACGGCAAGTGGCACTTACCAAGCACAATGCCAGACTCTGAATGTATCATCTTATTGCCCTATTTATTCATAACAACCAGCTTTTGAAATAGAAGTACTCTTGTGAGAAAAGCAAGCTTCAGACTGATTTTGTAACTAACTTACCCCCAAATGCTTACGGGAGTAGCAACAGGAGCGGTGGGAGTAGTGGCCCTGGTGTTTTGGTAATTACAATAGGTAGTGTTTCATTAGCATTTGAGCATATGCTGTTTTAAATACTTTATATATGTCAACTCATGTTATCTTCACAATCCTAAAAGGTAAAACTATTACAATGCTGGGGGTGGTGGCATCTGCCTATAACCCCAGCTGACTGGGAGATTGATGCAGGAAGATCTTAGCCCAGGCACTTAGCAAGACGCCATCTCAAAATTTTAACAAGGCCTGCAGATGTAGCTTTGATCCCCACTACTGGAGAGGAGGGGAAAAAAAAAAAAATGAAAAGACTGTTACTTTCTTTGTTTACAGAGAAGGGAAATGGGATCAGGAGCTAGTACGTGGCAGAGCCAAATGGCACCCAGGTTAATTTTGACGCTGTGGAATCCATGATTTTTGTACTACATAGGAATGATTCTCAGCAAAATGTTTTTTAAAAAGTGTTTACATGTGCTTTCCCATTTGTATTTTTAACAAATCCTATGCAGTTCCCCATTTGTGGTGATTTTTCAATAATGATTTTGGGACTTTACAACAATGTGAAAGCTGTCTACAGTTAGTGGGAACTGCAGCAGGAATTTTTAATTCTGATGTCCTCCTGGGCGAGTGGTGTGTGGTCCAGTCCTCTCCCAGTGCCGGGCAGCAGCCACAGTCACAGGGTACACCGTTGACGTTCCATACTGTGCTGCGTTGCTAAGCTAGCATGTATAGCAGGTTGGTTAGGCATATTAAATGTGTTTTTCAACAAGTGATATTTTCAACTTATAGTACATTTATCAAGATATGGCTCTATCATAAGTCAAGGGGCATCTGTGTAAGTCCAAACAATCTAACAAGTGTTTAACACCTCATAACCTAGCAACCATTTAAAAAAATATTACTCGTGAACTGGAAAAAAAAATTTTTTTTTGAGACAAAGTGTTGAAAGGTTGGTCTTAACTTCACTCTACAGCCCAAATTGGCCTTGAAATCACAGTGACCTTCTTGCCTCAGCCTCCTGAGTGTTGAGATTACAGGTATGAGCCACCATGCCCAGCTACTTTATTCTGAAATAGCCAAGATAGCTTACTGACAGAAAATGTGCACCTGTGGTTTTTAAACCTTGGAATCAAATCAGACATGGCCATTTTCATTTTGTTTCACATTCTTTTTTTTTTGGTTTCACATTCATTTTATTGAGGTACTTGTTTTTAACCATAGCAACTCCCAAAATTCTAGTTTTACAAAGATGGGATATTAGAAAACCATGAACTACCTCAGACCGCTAGTGTGTGTGGTATTCAACAATGTCAGGTAATGCAGTTTCCTGAATTTAAAATGTCTCTGTGAGCTCACTGCAGCAACCCAGGCTTCTGGCGTGCAGGTTGGTTGGTCGGTCGGTTTGTTCATTTGTTCATTTTCTGTGAGTGCTGGGGCTTACACAGGGGCTTAGCACAGGCTCCACAAGTGCTCGGCCATGATTGTACTCCCAGCTGCTGGCACACAGTTTGACAGCACTGGCTAAGCTGTCTTGGCCTTAGATAGGAGTGTGCACAGGTACTGTCGTAGTGCCAGGCCCTGTCCATTGACTTTCCAGTTCAGTATGTGTTTGTCTGATAAATACATGAAAGACCACTGGGGCTAATGAAGATCTGGGGAAAACTTTAAAGTAGGGGCTAGGATGTAGCAGAACGGTAGGAGCTCATGCTTAGTTTACCGCAGGCCCTGGATTCCTCAATATCCCAGACAAGCAAAAAAAATTTCCAATTTACAAAATTAACATTCATTCCTATAAGACAAAAATCTTGAGGAGTGAATGTTCTAAGTTTGATTCTCACCCCACCCTCCCACCCCCCAAAAAAAAGCTCTCTGCAAGCTGTACATGGTGGCGCCTGTCAGACTGGAGCATTGACAGTCCAAGGACAGTCTGGACGACTGAGCCCCATTGTGTCTTCAGATAAAAAAGACTGGGCATATGGCTTTGAGATAGAACATGCCTTGGGTTCACGCTCCAGTGCAATAAAAAATAATAATTATAATAATGTTCTATGAATCTATTCCAAATATCTGTGATATTCTCTAGTTTTCTACTGTAATATTTTACTACACTGTTCATCTCTTGCAGTGGAAAAAGATGGGAACCGTCATACAAAAGAGACTCACTTCAATAATTTGTATAGTATGGTACATTACTGTGAAAACATAACAGAATGCAGAAGAATACAGCTTTTGGCGTACTTTGGTGAAAATGGATTTAACCCTGAGTTTTGTAGGAAGCACCCTGATGTTTCTTGTGATAATTGCTGTAAAACAAAGGTAAAACAAGAAATTTTTAGAATCCTTTTATAATTAAGGAAATGGCCAACCTATTTCTTTCTTCTTTTGATTTAAAAAAGTAGATACAAGAGAGATTCCACTGTGTGGGTCCCAAGAGACAAAGCAAATACAAACATTCAAATACAAATATTTATAAAGTGTTATATGGAATATCTTTTCTTTTTCTAGCCCTAACCCTAACACTTTTCTTTAGCATTAGAAGGCTATAAAAAATATATTGAGTGCTGGGCGTGTAATCACACCTGTAATCCCAGCACTTGGGAGATTGAAGCAAGAGGATCACCTTGAGTTTGAGGTCAGCCTGGGCTGCATAGTTCAAGGCCAGTCTGAACTACACAGCACAACTGTCAGGAGCACATGTCCAAAATACTGAGATTACATATGTGCATGTCTAGTTGAAGGTTATTTTAGAAATATCACTAATGTATAAACATCCAAAAAGATCTAACATAGACAAGTAGAATATTTTAAATTCAACAGTAACCTGTTTATTCTCTCAACAGGAGAATAATAATATGTACTTTTTGAATTCAAAACATTTAAACTCCTTTAAAAAAAACTATAAATAATCATGCTAATAGCTTCTGGGTGACTTTACCATTGGAAGACAGATCCACACGGGAACACGGTGCAGCTTTTCAGAATCACGAGCACTTTTCACTATTGCCAGGATAAAGAAATGGGGTAAATGAAGGCACAGAAATTATCTAGCAAGGGCAACTTTTAAAAGTGAGCAAAGTTTGGGGACAACTGAGGAATATGAGAGGAAACTATTGACAATAGCACCGCTCAGAAGAGGTTAGAACTTGCACATTTGCATAGGTGTTTTTTTTTTTTTTTTTTTTTTTTTTTTTTTTTTTTTTGGTGTTTTTCATTTTTATCGGTACCAGGGATCGAACTCACGACTGCCTGCTTGCAAGGCAGGCACTTATGCCGCTGAGCTAAATCCCCAGCCCCTGGGATTTTTTTGATCCCGACGATCATCATGCTGTTGGAGACAGGATACAGGACAGAGGGGATGTGTGGGTGAGTGTGTGTGTGTTTCCTACCCACGGAGTGCTGTCGGGTGCTTGAAAGACAAGGATACCTGTCTGTGAAACAGCAATAAAGGAGCTTATGATAGCATTCTAATTATTCTACAACTCAGTCAAGAATAAATACTTAGAACTTTATTAGTTTTTTCATCTTAGTTTCGGTCTGGAAATGAATTGTAAGTCTACCACACTGTTAATGTTCATCTCTAGCAACCTAGCTATCATTATCTTAATTATAATAGAAGGTAATGTTTTTATTTGTAGGATTATAAGACAAGAGATGTGACTGGTGATGTGAAAAACATTATAAAATTTATTCAAGAACATAGTTCATTGCAAGGAGCAAGAAGTGCAAAATATGTAGGTCCTTCTTCTGGAAGATTTACTATGAACATGCTGGTCGACATTTTCTTGGGTAAGTCATCTGTGTTTTTATTTGAGTTATATCAATTGAAAGTAAAAAGCTAAAAAATTAATTATAAGTACATAGAAAAATCTCTTACCTGTTTTCTTATAAAACTTAAGGTGTTCCAAATAAAACTTTTTTTGTAAGTATTGGGAATGCACCCCCAGGACCTTTGCACTGAGCTCTAATCTCAGCCCTTTTTTCAGACAAAAGAAATATTTTAATGAATTATATTTTTGTGTGGTTTTTGTTATTGTTTTTTTGTGGTACTAGGGATTCAACCCAGAGCCTTCACACTGAACTGCATCCCCAACCTTTTTCTAGTTTTTTTTAAAAATAGTATCTCACTAAGTTGCCAGACTAGATTTGAACTTGTGATCCTCCTGCTTCAGCCTCCCAGAATGTGGAGATTATAGAAGGTGCCACTGTGGCTGGCTACACAAATTATTTCATATGGTTTTGTGAGTCACTAAGATGAGAGGAATTCCCACACAGGAGAAATAATCATAAAGCCTCTGCACATTTACCTGAGTGAGCTGGTGTAACCTGCCTGGAGAACTGCCTGGAACTGACCTCCTAGCCTAGGAGCAGCCTGGGCTTAAGTGTCTTCTCTTTGTTTGAGGTCCCATCAAAATGCCGGGGATTTAGCTCAGTGACATAAGCACCTGCCTTGCAAGCAGGCAGTCATGAGTTTGATCCCCGGTACCGATAAAAAGGAAAAAGACAAAGAAAATGATAATAAAGAACCCAAGTGCCACACACCTCTCTAATCCTTGCACTGCAGGCGAGCCTGAACTGCATACTGTGACCCTGACTCAAAAGCCAAAAATGGGTTTATACCCCATCCTAGGAGAGGGGAACAGCATGTGTGGGGAAACAGCTGACTTTTAGGAAAGATAAACAGGTCCTTAGGAGACTAGGTGGGCCACACAGTAGCCTTTGACCAGTCTGTTTAAGTGAGATGTGGGGACTTAAGATCAGCCTTCCCTGATTCTTCGCAGGAGGGAATCAGTAGCTTGAATTCTTTGAGGGAGGCTTTGCTTTTTGGCAAATGAAGCATTGGAAGAACTCACATGCCTTCTTCTCAAAATTTTATGGCATAGTGGCATATTCTGGACCCTATCAGAGACAATCCTGGAAGCTTTGGAAAGAAAAACAGGAACTAAAACCAGCCTGGCATCGCACTGACCCCAGCAGTCTGGAAGAGGGGGCAGCCAGGAAAGGGAACACACAGCAAGCAGAGGCGCCACCCACCCAAACCCTAAGGTTCAGAGTCAAGAAAGGTCCCTACCAGTAGCTAGAGTAAGAAATAGTTCTGTGTTGCTAACAGTGAATAACAGACTTCTCAACCAAAAAAGGAAAAGGGTACCTAGAAACTCCAGGGGACAGATTAATCTCAATTACAGGGCAGGACAGGAGGTAAATGCTGTCTTGATGATGTAGAAATTAAAGTGCATAAATAAGAACACAAGCAGTATGGGCAGGCCTTGAGTGCTCATCGATGCTGGCGTAGTGGAAGAATACTCAGGGATCCTCTCTAATGGCACAGGAATAGTCAGTAGATGAGCCAGTAGTACACAGTGCAAAAAGTGGGGAGGGTGTAGCTCAGCAGCATGAATCCCTGCCTCACAAGTGCAAGATCTGAGTTCAGTCCCAGTACCAAAAAACCAAAAAACCAAGTTTGAATAGGGGCAGTGAAGGGGCAGTCCCGTCATTCATGGGGTGGGGCCAGTTCATGTCAAGTGGCCCTGGACAGTGGGACACTGAGGTTTCTGTGTAGAGGGGACCACCAGAAGAGCTGAAAATAAAATAAAAACTTTAAAAGGTACTGCTGGGCTGGGTATGCAACTCATGGTAGGAGCTTGCCTCATACAGTTAAGGCCCTGGTTTCCACTCACAGCACTGACTGCAAGAAAAATTTAAAAATAAATAAAAATAAATTTCTTGGAGGGGAAAGGCCAGGCAGAGAAAGTAGGACAGAGGAATGTTGCTTTTAACGATAAAGCCTCCATACACCGTTCCCCCCATGTCCATGCATTGGTTTCCTGAAATTCTACAAGGCAACTAATTGCTTCATTCTTTTAAAAAATATATCCTGGACTAAGAAGATAGTTCACTCAGTTCCTCAGACTGACTTGTTGCTCTGTATTCCAATGTAGAAAACCAAAAAATACGTGCACTCAAAAAAAGACTATTACTGAGGATTTAGCTCAGTGGTGTAACAGCACCTGCATGGGAAGCACAAGGTTGTGAGTTCAATCCCGAGTACCAAAAAAAAAACACTGTGCTTCCCCAGTCACTTTTCATACTGCAATTATAAATTGTATCATTGCACATCACAAGATACAAGTGGTTCTTTAATCTGAAGTACTTGTATTTCAGGGGATATATTTTTCTACTGTAAGAACTGTATGATAAATGGACTGTTAAACCTTTGGCTTTATCTCAGAGTATTCCTTACATATAGATTCCTAGATTCTTTTTTTTTTTTTGGTCCCAGGGATCTAACTCATGACCTCATGCTTGCCAGGCAGGTGCTTACGCTGCTGAGCTAAACCCCCAGTTCTCCTTACTCTTAAAATGTTTAAGGAAACCATTTCTGATCCTTCGGTTCATGAGTGTGATGATTGGCTGTTCATGCCATGTGTGTCAGATGTGCCTCCCTCAAACCTTGTTACAACATTGACACATTACCCGTCTGATGTAGGAAAAAACAGGAAATCGGTTTTGTTCATCCAGCTTCTCAGTTATCCTCTACAATAGGGTGGGTCCACATCCCCCAACCCACCATGACCAGAGCAGTAGCCCTGATGCAGGTCACTTGCAGAAAGAAAACGCTTCAGTAATTCAGCATAGCTATCCAAGGCCATCTGAAATGTGCAATAATGTAATTATTTGGACCTCTTTAAAGTTAAGGCTTTCCAAAGTAACTGTTAATTCGAATTGTTATCAAATGTCACAGGCTTTTTAAAGTAGATCTTTATAGTGAAATTGTGTTTCAGGCTGGAGACATTAGTAACTGCAATGCTGGGATGGGAGGCAAAGCAGTGGATGCTGCTAGCTGGCCACAGAAAGAGGTTGTGTCCACCTTCCTGTCCTCACCTCCTACCTTGAGCACCTGGGCAATTTGCTCTTTGAGTTGGGAGTTTGCATGGGCTTCCTTAGGAAGGGTGACGAAAAAAGTACATTTAAATACTTGGATCATAAACTTGCAAGCAGTTTTAATCATCAGGACCAAAAACTGTCATAAAGCTGATTGTCAGAGGCTGGGACTGTGGCTTAGTGGTAGAGCATTTCTTTAGCTTGTACAAGCCCCTGGGTTCTGTCACTAGCACTGCAAAATAATTTAACTGACTATCAAAAAATTTCTGTGACTACATCAATAATGCACAATCATCCTAATCTGGCACAGTAACATAAAGCTATTGCCATTTTTATAAACTTTAGAGCAAAAAAAAATCACAGTTTCTACAAATGGCAATAGCTTCATATTTTTAAAGAGAAACATAATTTTGTTGTGGTTTTTGATCAAGTGTGTGTTACAAAAAGATGAGGAGCGGGTGCCAATATAGTTCAGTGGTAGAAAACTCACCTAGCATGTGTGAGCCCCATGGTTCCATCCCCAGCACCAGAAAGGAAAAAAGAAAGAACAAATGACCGTGGTCGGGAGGTATAGCTCTGGGATAAAGTGGGGGCTCAGCGTGCACAGAGCCCTGGTTTGGAAGGAACTTTAGAGTTCTACTCACGTCTCATACAAACATGAGTATGTGAAAGTGTATTTGTGCCATGGGTTCTCCTGTGGAATAGAGGATCTATTCTTTTTGTCTAAACGTGCTAATAAGTGGCCTTTTAGCCTCTTTCATGTGAGAGTTGCGATGCCCCTAGTTTTACTCACCTAACTTTTTGTTCCTTCCTAGGCAGTAAGAGTGCAAAAGTTCAGTCTGGTATTTTTGGAAAAGGATCTACTTACTCACGACACAATGCCGAAAGACTTTTTAAGAAGCTAATACTTGACAAGATTTTGGATGAAGATCTGTATATCAATGCCAATGACCAACCAGTTGCCTATCTGATGCTGGGAACTAAAGCCCCGGCAGTACTAAATGGGCAGTTAAAGGTACAATATCTTAAATGTTGTTGGGATTTTTTTTGTTTGTTTTTTGATTCTGGGGAGTAAACTCATGACCTTGCGCTTGCCAGGCAGGCGCATGTGCCACTGAGCTAAATCTCCCACTCTTTAAATGTTTATCTTATTGTCTCAGGATCAGTGAGCTAAAATATATTACTGCAAAGTACAAAGCTTACAGATACTGAATTTCTGTGTACATACTCTCCTGTAAGGACGTATTCTGGGAGTCTGGGAATTTAGCTCAATGGCACAAGCGCCTGCCTTGCAAGCGCACGGTCATGGGTTTGATCCCTGGTACCTATTTAAAAAAAAAAAAAAAGAACATATTCTGATCTTTTAATTAGAAAGAAATCTTGGGGCTGGGGATTTAGCTCAGCGGCATAAGCGCCTGCCTTGCAAGCAGGCAGTCGTGAGTTCGATCCCTGGTACCAATAAAAAATGAAAAAGACAAAAAAAAAAAAAAAAAAGAAAGAAAGAAATCTTAAAATTGAAACCAAGTAGTGTACCATCTGACAAAAATCAATTTAATAGGTTTCACTAAATCTTCAGATACTCATTAAATAAGCATTTATCAAGAGGCTCCACAGTGCAAAGCCATGGAGATAGAAGGATGAACAACGTACAGCAACTATTTAAAAGAGACTTGCTAGGTACATGGCAGAACAGAAAAAGTAGTAACGCAACAATCAGTATAGTTAAGCTTCAAGTAGCCCCATCATTCAGGTGAAAACGTGTGTCTCCCCACTCCTGAGACTTCTTTCTCTCTCACAAGGTGGACTTTATGGAAACAGAGAATTCCAGCAGCATAAAAAAACAAAAAGCTTTAGAGGCAAAAGTATCTCAGAGGGAAGAGGTGGTTAAGAAATGCCTTGGAGAACTTACAGAGGTCTGCAAATCCCTGGGGAAGGTTTTTGGTGTCCATTACTTCAATATCTTTAACACCGCCACTCTCAAGAAGCTCGCAGGTAGGGACAAGGGCACTTCCTGCTACATCTCCTGAGGGGCTTTCCAGGTGATGAATATTAACAAAAGTTAATTATTGTTATTTAATCTCTGGATTAAAATTTAAGAGAAACCATGTATACTCGTTCTTGAGATAAATTCTTTCATATATATGCAGTTGTAAATGTGTGGTATAATTTTAATTGTATACCGTCCTCTAAAGGTACATTGTAGGATTTGGAAAATTGAAACCCATGCTGATTATTTGCCTGTCCTACTATGATTACCTTTATTTCTGAATAAATGGCTTTAGCTGAGTATTAAGCTCAGTGGCATAAGCGCCTGCCTGGCAAGCACAAGGTCATGAGTTTGACCCCTGGTACCAAAAAAAAAAAAGTCCTACTGAATAAATGGCTTTACAGTGAAGGCATTGAATGAAGAACTAAGTTTCTTACAAAAACAGACAGTTCTTCTTTAAATCTGGACCTAGCATATTGCAGTCTCATTCATTAAGAAATAATTTGCTCATGGTTATTTCCATGGATTGAGACAGCTCAATGCCGAATTTCAGTAGCAAGTCTCTGAGAAGTAAATTGTTAACGTAATGGTCTGGTGTTCATTACCTTCTGTGTTCTTCCTTCATAAAGTCCCATAATCATGAGCCAGGTATGGTGGTACGTATCTGTAATCCCACCATTCACGAGGCTGAGGTAGGAGGATCACCATTTCAAGGCCAGCCTGGCTACATAATGTGACATTGTCTCAAAAACTAAAACAAATCTCATACTTATTTATGAGATTCTGTCCTATTTATTTTTGTGTTCCCATTTCTTCCACCAAATCACTTTTTGACTCATTTGATTTTTTCTTTTTTGGTATCAGGGATTGAACTCATGACCTTGTGCTTGCCAGACAGGTGCTTATGCCACAGAGCTAAATCCCCAGCCCCACTGACTGAGTTATCTCTGATTTTATTTTTCCTTGGGTCATCACTAAAATGCCCATTCTGGTTTTTATTTTTTGTCTGTTTATTTGATTGGTTTGCTTTGGTTGTGTTGTTGTTTTGCTTTCTCTTGGTGCTAAGACTGAAACTCAGGGCCTCATGTGTGCTGAGCGTACTTCCAGCCATCTGTTTGGGTGGTGGTACTTTGCTGATGGCACCAGATACCAGGTGTCAACAGAAGGTTGCCTATCTCTCAGTGACAAAATGTCCTACTTTATCTACTCTGGGCGTCTTTTTAGATCATGTAAAACATTTGGCTGTTGCATGTAAGAAAATATGAAACTGTGGTCATTTCTTCAAAGACAGAAGGTACTTGGTTAGTGTCAAATTTATTGCCTGTTGCTGTGCCTTGGCCTTTCTGCGTAACACTAATCACAGGACAGCCTTGAAGACATTTCATGTGGCAATCACACTCAGCGTGTGAGATGCCAGCAGTGCAGGGACTGCTGATTACTAGCCTTGACTACCCATGCACCTGGGCGGCAGCAGCACCCGTTTGGTCTTCAGCAGTTGTAAGCTGCATTTTAAATTCAAGAATGCTAATATGAGAAAAAGTGAGACTCTAGATCAATCAGGAACAGCGTAGTTTCCCCTAGGCTAGTAGTGCAGCTTCCTAACTGGTCTCTTTACATTCAGTGTGGGTATGATATATATTTTAATCTTTCCAAAATCATTAAAACTACAACAGCTCTCAGATAACATACAAATTCTCACAAGGGTCTGCATTTCTGATTGCCTCTCCCATTTCATCTTCCACTGGCCCCTCTGATAGCCCTTCTGTTCTGTCCCACAGTCTGTTGCTTTTGTCTAAACATAGGAGCAATGTGAAAATCAGAGATTGGAAAGAATCTGAAATCCCATCTACCCTCCGCTCAAATCAGATTCAAGGAATTACTGCTCCCTTATTCCCCATTGCCAGTGTGTCAATAAATCCTTGCCCCGAGTTTCCGATGTCCACTGTTCCCCCTCGTGGTCCATTTTTCTGTACCACAGCCTGAGGGACCTTTTAAGTGACAGGCTTGTCTGACTGCAAGGCGGATCCCGCCTCTACAGAGGACTCAAAGCTGCCTGCTCTTTGCTCCACGCCCTGTGGAAAGACTGGAGGAAGGACAGTTGGGCTGGGGGCAGCGGCCATGTGCTCGTGCCTCCTTGGGTGGGAAGCACAAATCTGGAGTGCAGAAGAGGCCAGAGCTGGAAATAGAAATGTGGGTGTTTTTAGCAAATAGCAGGGACATTAGTGTTGCAGCTGGACAAATCTTGGTACTAGGAAAGTGAGCACCCACACAGGTCCCACCCTCCGCCACCACCCATACACACACTGCTGTTGGCTGCCTTGGCTTCCTCATCATGCTGCTGGAACTGGATGGTGGGTCCTGCCCGCTGGGCCAGTCTGCTGCCTCTGCAGTACTGATTTTGCCTTTTAAAACATCAGCCCCTGCACTCAGTGTCCGAGTTAGCTGGCACTGAACACACATGAGCTGAATGAATGAACGAGCATGAGTTCAGTGGGTTTTCTATGGGTAGTAATTTAAATTCCTAATTTTATTCCTATGCACAGAATCTTTATCATCTGATCCTGAGGTTTTGCTTCAAATTGATGGTGTTACTGAAGACAAGCTGGAAAAGTACGGTGCAGAAGTGATTCCAGTGCTACAGAAATACTCCCAGTGGACCTTGCCAGGTTCAGTACTTAGCTCATCTGGGTGTTAAACACTACATCTCACCAGATTAGAATTACAGGGTTTCTTTCGCCTGGTCACACTGAAGTCAAAGTCCTCAGAGGAGCCCCCTTGGCAAGTAGGCACCTATAAGAGGATGCAGGCATTTGGGTTTCCACAGGAGATACTCATTAAACCTACAGATAAGGCCCACATGTGGGCCTGTGAGTTCAGGCACTGCCACTTCCACTGAGGTGCCCAAGGAGTCAGGAGCCCTGGTGACCATCTCATATCAGCCACCCTTGGCAGGGCACACACAGCATTTCTGTGCTTCTGTGTCCTTAGCAGAGAAAGAAAGGTGCTCTCTAAAAATCTAAAGATAAAACTGAGGAGTAGAATTTACATGTTTTGGAAGAGTGAACGTTGAATCACTGACTGCCCTTGTGGTTAGTTGTTATAAGAATGCATTGTTAGCAAACCTCCCCAGAGGCTACTCTAGGCCTGGGCTGTAGCTTCACCTGAGCCTCAAGGTTGGGCTGAAAGAGGTATTTGGTATTTGGCTGTGGGACATGGTCTGCCCTCCATTGATATTACCGTGCTGTAAGACCCTGCCAGGTCCAGCCTTCTCCTGTTCTGGAGCGGGCTGAGGATGGGCAGCCTTCTCTAGGCCAATGGCAAGCGAGCAGGACAAGAAACAAGTAAGCAGATCTTTTACACTGTCTTTCCACAGGTTTCTTATCCAATGGCAAAGTGCTGAAGAGTAGGATTTTAATAAATTCCTTTACATGGTAATTGTTTCATTAAAAGCCATGCTCTGGATATCTTTGAGATTCTCTTGATAGGAACCTAACATTGTTCCATATGATAACTGATCTGGAAGGGGCTTTTGCAACATAAGACAAGACAGCTCTGGAGAAACATCGGGCAGCATGGTGGCGGTCACTGCCCTCAAGGACATGATTGTACCACTCCATCTTCACAGCACCCACTTTGTGCATGTAGGAGGTGAAGAGGAGGCAGCTTATGTTTCCCAGAGTCACAGAACTAGGAAACCAGGGCGCTTAGCCCTGGAGCTGCAGTCCCTTCCCATTCGATCAGGGTTAGAAGGTGCCATGGTGGGATCCCGACCTCTGCAGTAGGTAGCCCAAAGAGTGTACCAGGCCAGCAGGAAATGGAGCCAGGGTCACTGGGTGACCTAGAAAGAAATGTCTTGCTTTTGAATTGCTTTGGGATACAAATCCCTATGGAAATGAGCGTCTTCTTTGCAAATGTGCACTTTCACACAGGCGCATTCCCTGCAGCATGTTTACAGCGCTTATGCTTTTGCCTTTGAAGAGTTAAAACGTGGTTCGGAATTTTGTGATGCCATGTTAATTAAGAAATATTAGTTGAATAATGGGCAGGACATAGTTTATTATTTCTCTTATGTTACACTCTTTGAGCATGTTTTCAGTGACAAATAGTTGCCTAACATTTGTGTAGCACTATTTTTCAAATGCTCGCCAGGATTTACTGCCAGTCAGTGACAAGAACACAAGTCAAGTTCAGCGGAGTTTGAGTATCTCTGTGATCTCTTAAAGACTATCCCACATTCTCTAAATAACAACTTCTGACTCCTTTTTAGTTAAAAAAAAAAAAAATGGCACTGAGCATATTGGAGCTTTGTGAAATGATAGAGAAATGTTTGTTTCTTACTGAACTATTGGAACTGAATAGCAGGAAAGTACCAGGCAAGCAGCTGGGTCCTGGCCGAACTGGGCTCCTGAGCCATGTGTCTTCAGAGAGATGGGACAGCCCAGTGTCACTGGTAAATGTCTGTGTCTCCCTTCTGCAGCTGAGGACACTTCCCCAGGGATCAGCCTGTCCGGCAACAGCGGCAGCAGGCGGAAGGCCCCTGAGGAGCTGGAGGATGAAATTCCTGTGTCTTCCCACTACTTTGCAAATAGAGCCAGAAATGAAAGAAAGAGGAAGAAGATGCCAGCTTCCCAGAGACCTAAAAGGAGAAAAACTAGTTTTGGTGGCTTCAAAGCAAAGGGGTATGTTCCTTGACGTCTTTGGCAGCCTGGGGTCTCAGGAAAAAAAAGGACACTAACGGGCTGATAATCAAGGACAAATCCACAGCACAAACATTCCTTCAGTATTTTTTGGTTGTTTGTTTTGTTTTGTGGTTTTTTGGTTTGGGTGTTTTGAGACAGGATCTCACTCTATAGTGCAGGCTGAACTCTGTGTAGCCCAGGCTGGCCTCAAACTGATAGCAGTCTTCCTGCCTCAGCCTCCTACAGATGTGCGTCACCACACCTTGCTTGGCATTGTGATTCTGCCAGTACTTGCTACTTTTTTTTTTTTTTTTTTTTTTTTGTACCAGGGATCGAACTCACGACCTTGCATTTGCAGGGCAGACTCTTATGCCACTGAGCTAAATCCCCGGCCCTTACTGTACTACTTTTATGGCTGCAGAATTCTGTGATGCTCCTCATGGAGGCAGATTGCCCTCCCTGCTATTCATCAATACCCAAGAGACTCAACTGCCAGCTCTTACAGGGGTAGCAGAGAAGAGGCCACAAAAGCGCAGCCTAAAGGCCAGCTGAGCCCTGTTCTTTCTGAGATCACGAAAGGTCAGGCGTGTGGGGTATGATGTGCACAGACCATGTGGGGCACGTGCATAGGCTGAGACCGCATAGGTCAGGTATGGCAGGAGTGTGTGGTGTGGACACTGCTGGCCACCTCAGGGCTGCAGAAATGGTTTCCCTCTGCCCCTTCACACTTTGCTTGGCCTCTGGGCCTTGTCTGCTCTGGGATGCTCCCCACACACCACAGCAAGAGCAGAGGTGGTGGGCTCACAACCTGGAGCAGGCTCGTTCCTCGTGACTACCGTGCGGGCGACAGTCTTCTCACCTGACTCCCCCTAGGGTGCCCGTGCACCCATACACCCCTTTCACCTAGCAGGATGGAGACCATCCCTAAGGTCTGGAGAATGTGGCCCCAAGATAACTGCAGATTGTAACAGAATCACTGGCAGAAATAGGGAAGCAAGTCTGCAGTCAGTTTTTGCAAGCTGTTGTGTTTGCTTTTGCAGTTTTTCTACCTCTTTTCCTTCTGGGTAATAAAAAAACAAAAATCAAGTGGGGGAAGAGAAAGGAAGACAAATGTTACTGAATTTTCATTTCTTGTTAAATCCATAAACAAACATCTTGTATGTGCTAATCCTTCTGCCAGAGTACAAAAATTAAGGGCATTCTAAATGTTAGCTTAATTTGTGGTTTTTAGTGCGCAAGTGACCGCCAGATACTCTTCAGTGAGGACATTTTCTTATTTCCTTCGTTTATTTCTCTGCCTTAGGAAATACTTATTTCCTTAGTGGCTCTTGTGGAGCAGGAGACCTTGCAAGGCAATCTGTTCCTGCTCCCCTGGGCTTGGCGTGGGAGTGCTCATGCCTGCGACCTAGTCTCATTTCAGAGGTGGGCTGCAGGCTGCCCGCCTGCCCTCCAGAGCTTTCGTCACTGCCCATCACCTTCAGAATGTGTGTGGTCTCTCGCCTCAGTTTTACTCAGAACAAAGCAAACCATGACAGTGCTCACCACCCTTGGCTCCCTTGCTTGATTTTCATCGTGTGTGTTTGTGGGAGTAAGATGCTTGCTGAGTCCCTGGAGCCTGGTTTCCTAACAAGTAGTGAAACCTAGCCTTGCCCACCGCCAGGACCCATGCCTGTGCCCACCGCCAGGACCCATGCCTGTGCCCTTTCAGCCGCCTGTGCTTTGCGATGGGATTCTCCTCTGCTTCCCACTGGCTCACACCTCTCCACTCCTCTTGTCAAGTTTTTATCATCAGCAACTTCCACGCATCTGCACTTCATTCTGCCTATTTCCAGCAGCCCCTGACAGACGGCTGCCCAGTCCCCAGCCCGCTTACCAGCTCATCCCCATATAAGCACAGGGATGCAGTGAGTGTGGCCCTTGGCCAGAGACCCTTACTCCACCCTGCCCCAAGTTGGCAGCGCACAATGAGCCGCTTGTGCTGAGCTGCGGTTGGAGTGAGATGGGGCCCAGTGGAGACATGAAGGCTGCTGTTGGCAGATTAGTTCTGGAAATCCGCATAAACAGCAGGGGCTTTACTTCTCAGCAGGAAATCAGCATAAGGAAACTTCGGCTGCACCTCTGCCTTTTGGGCAGATCTGCAATAAAATTGCCCTTCAGCAAGAGTTTTAGATATTAAAAACCACTCTTCACCTAGAACCCTCGGAATGCTGTTATTCAGGGACTATAGCACTGTTTCTCTGGACCCTAAAAGAGATCTAGGAGACTGCTCACCAACCCTGGTGCTCTGAGGTCCAGCCAGCAGAAAGGGTCCCTGGGGTTGATGCTGGCCCACGGGTGTATGTTTTGTTTTACTTGTGGTGACAAAAGCTGTTATCCTCAGGTCAGCAAGGCAAGTGATGTGCAGGAAGGACTTCACCCCAGACTGTGAAGGGGCTTTTCCCCTGGTTTTAAACGGCAGTAAGGGGAGGCTGGGGATTTAGTTCAGCGGTATAAGCACCTGCCTTGCGAGCAGGCAGTCGTGAGTTCGATCCCCAGTACCAGAAAAAAGAAAAAAAAGGCAGTAAGGGACCCAGAATAGTGGCACATACCTGAAATCGCACCTACTCAGGCAGAGCAGGAGGATCATGAGTTTAAGGCCAGCCTGGTCAGCTTACCAAGAACCTGTTTCAAAATCAAAAGGTCTAGGGATGTAGCTCAGTGGTAGAGCATTCCTGGGTTCACCCCCAGTATACCACACACGCACATATAACACACTCACAGGCACGTGAAGGCAGGGAGTGCACGGGCAGAGCTGGCAGATCTTTGGATGTAGGCAAAGAAGCTGCCAGCTGCCTGGCCCTGACAGTTGTGCCAGACCAGGGCATGAGGCAGCGCCTGGCCCTCCCCAGGGAGCTGCATTGGCAGCCTCCTCCGGGCTGGGCTGGGCTGGGCTGGGAAGAGGCTGTGCTCTTTGTTGTTACTGAGCCAGGCTCAGAGCCCAGCTCTCTGCCCATTGCTACTCGCCCAGAGCTGCCTTGATCAACACTGCAGTGCAGCACCTCTAGAGTCTCTCATGGCCACTCAGCCAGGGATCTGGGTGTTTCCTCTTCCTGCACATGGTTGGAATAGGTCAGGATATGTGGTTCTCAGCTGACTGCAGTCTGTGGGATGTGTGGGTGGGGGAACAGTGGTCACAAGTTACAGAGTTAAGAAACAGTCCTTGACATTTGAGAAAGACAAGTTCAGAACAAATTTGTATGATAGACAGTGGTCCTTTATCCCTGGGGAACACAAAATTTACCTTACGGGAAGGAGTGCAGGGAGACACAGGCATTCATGAGCCTAAGGAAATTCTGGAGGTAGCTCCAGAGGGCTGAGGAAAAAGGCCCTTGGCTTGTATTTTCATTTACCATTTTAATTTTCTCTGTCACATTTAGGGGCTCTACCACATGCAGAAGGATGTCTTCTAAAAGTAAATTCTCCAACACCATTGGATCCAGCTCAGCCTTGCATAGCTCTCAAGCAGCATCAGGAACCAGTAGAAAATTGGGAATTATGGCGCCACCAAAGCCTATAAATAGACCGTTTCTCAGGCCTTCATATGCGTTTTCCTAACAGCCCAGGCGCAGTGTACGTAGAGCTTTGTTGGCTGTCAGCATCTGACCATCTGTGACTCCAGAGCTGTCAGTCTCGTTACACCATTGGAAATCTTTACTCATATCTATTAATATTTAAATAAATGCTTGGGTGCCAGTTTTTATTTTTAAAATAAACAATTTCTTTTGAGTAGCATGTTTTGCTGCTGCTTTTGCAAATGTGTTTCTCAGAAAGTCTGAAGCAGCAGCTGAATCATCTCAGAGAAACTGTAAGCATAACATGAAGGCAAAGGCAGACACGCATGGGACGCTGTGAAACTGAGCTTCTTGCATAAGCCACCACCAAGAGAAGTAAAAGACAGATGCCACAGAAAAGAGAAGACACACCAGCCGGCCACGGTGGTGCGGACCTGTAATCCCAGCATCCTGGACACTGAGGCGCTGTAAGTGGAAGCCCATTCTGGACTACAGAACTAGACCTTGCCTCAAAAAAACAAAAAAGAAAATGTACTGTAAAGAATGAATGTGTACAGTGTACAGACAGTATGTATAAATCATTAAGGAAAAGCCGACACAGAAGATAACTAAACAAGCTGTGAATAGAAGAAATATAAACCCACAAATCAATGGAAAATGCTGTCTTTTAATTAAAAACAAATTAAAACCATGAGGTGCATTATTTTGCCTATGGAATTGTCAGCACCAGCCTAGTGTAGTGACAAGTGCCACTAGTCCCAGGTGCTCAGGAGGCCAAGGTAGGAGATTCACTTGAGCCCAGGGGTTCAAGATGAGGCCGAGTAACATGGGCCCCTTCAAGAAAAAATAAAAAATGAGCAAAACAGCACTGCAGGCATAGTGCTGCGGGGCTGTGATCCCATCACTCAGCTGGAGGCAGGAGGTGGCCAGTTCAGCTACAAAATGAGTTGTAGGCCACTCCAAACTACACAGCAAGACATTGTCTCAAAACGCACATTAAACGGTCAGGGATTTAGCTCAGTGGCATGAGTGCCTGGCTGGCAAGCACAAGATTATGAGTTTGATGCCTGGTACCAAAAAAAAACCCACAAAAACTTACCATTAGCAAACATGGTCAAACAGATTCTTTTAGCAAGAATTTATCAAATATTAACATTTCTTTTAGTTTGCCCCATTAGGTGGCTCCTCCCTGATCTCAGGAGGGAGGCCCAGTGTGGGCTACAGTGGTTAAGGTAGTTGGTCAGAGCCTGAGCCGGCACTGAGGGCTCTGGACTGAGGTGAACCCGGCAGGCACACTGAGGAGTCACCTGCTTCCACCTCCTCAGCTGTCACCAAGGGGCCTGGGCAGGTGAGTCTGCTGAGGCCCGCACGCCTTTACGGTGCCTCCTGAAATGGACTAGGACTGGTGCCCTGTGGCTAGAGGGCCTTGCGGGAGGAGGAGTGACGAACCAAGGGAATGGGCAGTTGAAGCCCAGGATAGTGTCTCGGCACGAGGTCACTGTGGAGTGTCACCTGTCCAGCAGAGCATGGCAGGGGATGTCTGTGTCCTTGCACCCTGGTGTAGTGCTCAGGTGAGCCCTACTCAGGTGCCCTGCTCCTCTGCATTGTGCTGGACATGCAACTCGGCCTCTCAGGAACACATGTTCCACTGTGGCTCCCAGGCCATGAGGGCATCTTGGGGGTGCAGTGCAGGGCCAGTGCCACCCACAGACAGCCCCAGCTTCCAGGTCAGGGATTCTCGCCTGGCTCTGATTCCTGGTTCCCCTGGCCCCAAGCAGGCTCGGAAAAGCACAAGCACCCTTGCCGCTCCTGCCTGGCTTCCAGCCTCTGAGACACTCGGGGCAGGGGCAGGGCAGCCCCAGGGGCAGGAACAGACAGGCAAGACTGGTGACAGCAGAGCTACCCCAACAGGGACCCTCTCTGGACACAGAGGTCACCATGTCCTGGGCACAAGGAGGCCCAGTTCTTTCCCCGTTGCCCCTCTGCAGCTGCACTCCAAAGCTGACAGCTGGGTCCTTGCCCGCCTCCAGGGCTGGGTAGCTCAGGGCCTTGGGGTGAGAACAAGCACTGAGTACCCTAGCTGTGTCAAGTGCACCCTGTACCCACTGAGGAGGCAGGCACACACCGTAGTAACCTTTATGCCAAAAGCAGAATTCTGAGAACTTACGTAACTCAGCCAGCCTACAGGAGGAGGGAGAGGTAATAAGTGGGGTAACCTGCCGCTCACTCCACCCTGGTGAGTCCCAGTCTACATCTGTTGTCCGGTGTCGTAATTAACACAGCTTCCTTTCATCTGCAAAAGATTCTTCTCTTCCCCAAAACAACCCAGGCTCCCTCCCAACCCCATTTTCCAAACTTCAGGGACTGCCTGCTCGGACCTGCTCTGCTTGAAACCACAGGCTCGGGACGGGGCTGCAGATGCAACAGCTGAGTGTGGCTTCTCTGCAGCAGCAGAACAGGGGAGAGACGGGGGGCCCCAGGGTCTGCGGTGGCTGTGCTGAGCAGCTGGTGGGTGACCGCGCCCAAGACACAGGCCCATCACAGCCCCCCATCCCATTGCATGTGAAGAAGGGTGAGCACCTTTCTCCCAGGCCTGGGTTCACTCAGGACTGCGTTAGTTATGCAGTAGTACATTAGAAGCTGAGCATGGTGGTGTAAGCCTGTGATCCCAGCTGGGAAGCTGAGGCAGCAGGATCAACCAGCCTGAGCAACTCAGTGAGACTCTGTTTCTAGAAACGCAAACAAAAAAAATACAGAAAGCAAGTCTGCCCCTCAGGTTCCACCTCTTTCACTGGAGGCTGTCACCAGATGAGAAGTAACAGTGCCATGGTTTCAGACCCAGATAGTGAGATAAAAACCTCTTTCCTGTACAGGCCAGGGTGTGGTATGCCTGATCTGCACAAGGCCCGGGCTTCCACCTCCAGCACTGCCAACGAGCAAAAACTTCCCTTTATGAATGATGACAGTTTGTATATCCTGTCACAGTGACAGGGCAAGTCATTGAGGTGGGGGCCACACAGCGTCCTGCTACACCATCCTGTTCTCTGTCCAGGCTGCACCAAACTCAGGTTCTCTCTCAGGGCCTAGTGACAGGGGGTGACAGGGTCAGTGGAAAAGACATCTGGGCTGGTCCGATGGCAGTGGGTTATCAGAGCTTATTAACATTAGTGTCACTAAAGTTGGTATACCACCCCCCACTGCTAAATTTGACTAGCTTAGAAAAAAAAAAAAAAAGACATCTGGACACTCCCCACGGAGAGTGAGATAGGACGAGCTGCAGGCCAGCAGGACCTGGCATCCAAGGCCACCTCCCTGTCACTCCCAGCTTCCCCGTTGGCTTCACTGTCCAAGCAGTACCCTCTCAGCGAGTGCTGATGTTTTGATCAGTCACCATCTGTTCTCCAGCCGATGTCCTCCACACAGTGGCTGAGACTGCAGGTTACCACGTGTGAGGACGTCTGCAGTCCCCAGGGTCCTTTGGGGCTCCCTTTCTACCCTGAGCACCTGCAGTTTACCTGCAGGTGGGCTCCATGCCCCACCCCTCAGCATCCTTCCCAGCTGCTAGGCGGCCGCACTCCTGCTGCGGCCCTGCAGGAATTGTGGACAGGCTGTAGGCATGGAAGAGTGTGGTAGACTTTGCTCAGAGCCACTCTCCTGGCCACAGCATGCACCCAGCTGATCGAGGACCGCACTGGAGTCTCAACAGGCAGGGAGGAAGGCTGTGAAGTGGCTCTGTGGTCACAGTGCTTGGGGTCACAGACCGATTTTATCACTTGCTGTGGGTCTTAAGTAACAACCTGCCTGAGCCTCTGAGAGAGCATAACGGCATCACCCTGTGTCCAGACTGTTACACAGACAAGACTGTGAGAGCCCGGTGCTTGGAGCAGGGCCCCGAACTCACTGGACCAGAGCTATTGTCACTGCGGCCTGGGGAGTGACTGGTGCTGTGTGTAGTTATTTGTTGTACAGAAGTTGACAGCAAATAACCCAGCCACAGCTCTCCCTGGCCATTCTCAGCCCAATCCTCTTATGAAATAATAAACCTTGGGCCAGTCATGGGACACATGCCTGCAATCCCAAATCCCAGCACTCTGGGAGGCTGAGGCAGAAGGACTGCAAGTTTGCCCAGCCTGGGTAACTTAGTGAGAACCTGGGGCATGTAGCTCAACAAGAAGCTCCTGGGTTTATTCCTCAGGGTACCCTGCCCCCCAAAAAAGAAACCTTGAAGTAGGAGGAAGTTTAGTGTCAGAGATTGTACTTCGCAGTACAGTAGGCCTGGGGCACTAGACCAGTGTCCAGCACCAAAAGATTAATCAGTCAGTCTTCAAGGGGCGTCCACACCAGCTGTGCAACCACAGTAAGCATGTAGATTCTGGACTTCTGGTGATTGCAGAACAGGCAGGCAGCACTGTAACAGGGGTCTCAGTCCAGACTCTAGGAGCCCCCAAAAGGTGCAGACTCCTCAGCTGTGAGCACCATTTTTGTGCTGCAGTTCCTCTGTGAGGGACCATGACTCAAAGGGCCGGCACCCCCACAAGTCTAGAGACTGCCTCAGGGCAGCTGCAGAAGGCTGTGCCAGGTCCCCTGCTGGCACAGCCACTCCCAGGAACACCAGGACCCAGACAAAGCCAGGCGACAGCACTGCAAAACAACAGAGCAAATTTGGGCAGGTGGAACCCAAGGCACGAAAGTGTAACCCCAGTTAGTGAGACTGCAGATCACAGGCACTGGCTTGGTAGGCAAGCCCAGGAGACACGTGGGAGGTCACCTCAGGTCAAGCAGGCAGGTGCCTCACGGGGGCTGGGACAACAGGCATGACCTGTGTCACACCCAGCGTGGCCCAGGGAGGCAGTGGCAGAATGGAGCCAACTTGGGCTCTGGTTATCTCAGCTTGGCCCCCATCTATCTACACAGCAGGGCCCTGCGGGCCTCAGTGGCCCCTTGGCCATATCCTTGCTTTGATGAGAAGGCTACGCAGGCAGGCAACACCTTCAGAGTCATTTTCGAGGCAGTTGGGGCTGGGCTGCCACTGCAAGCCCAGCCGTTTTCACCTTCCTGGATATAAGGGGTCATCACTAACTGCAAGGTAGCTGGGAGGCTCTGAGGCCTGAGGGCCCCCCAGGGATGAGGTCCTGGGGCACAGCCTGTGGCAAGTGCTTGCAGAGGGCTGAGACAAGCAGCAGAGGGGCACTGGCCTCGGTGTGGGGTGGGGGGAAAGAGGAAGTGGGGCACAGATCAGAAGTGGCCAGGGAGGAATGAAACTGCTGCTGTGTGGCAAACAGTCCTTCCTGCACCCACTGTGGCCCAGCTGACCTCAGCCCTCACACACACGTGTGAATCCACAGGACAGTGGTGTGCATAGGACCCGGTCCATCCCGTTTTGTGCAGCGGAGCTGCCCCATGTCACCAGGATGGCCCTGCCAGGTTGCCCTAAAGTGTAGCACAAGAGAAATGGAGCTGGGGACTGACAATGCCTGGGCAGGACACCTGGGCCCAACTACCCCGACTGGCTTTGCCATCTGCTCATGGCCCAAACTGCTCTGGACCTGACTTCAGCCCTCTTTGGCCCCAGACCCAGGCTCCTTTGTGTTTGTGTGTGTGTGTGTGTGTGTAGTTTTTAAAACAGGATCTCACTATGCACTTCCCACTGGCCTCAAACTCATAATGATCCTCCTGCCTCAGCCTCCCAAA